TTGGAGAGCTTGGGTACAGGGCTAGGCTCCAGAGTGTCTGTGAGACTAGACACTCTCACGGAATAACAGGGCATAATGTAGGGAGACTGAGGAGAGCTGAGACCTGGTGGCAGTGCAAGAGCTCAGAAATCCTGCCTGGGCCTCTAGACCAGGAAGAGTGACTTAATTCCAAATCCTGCAGAACAGGATTTAGGGACTGAACCTACAGATTGGTTGGGAGGTCTCTTCTTTGGAATTGGCTCTAAGGAGCTCAGGAAGCAGAGGCAAGGAGGAGTGGATCAAATACTGCTGCAGTGTTTCTTAGTCACAAACACACAGAGCTTTGGTGTGGATATGACAGATTTCTTTCAATAATGCCTAAGATTTCCAGTGTGAAATGTTCATTCATTCATTCATTTATTCACTCATCTATTCATCTATTCATTTATCCTCCCACTCACTCATGAGCTGGAGAAAATGATATCTTCCAGAAATCATAGGGACAACTGCTATATGTGATCAGAAGGAATACTCTGATAAGCTGATTGAGATGGAGAGTAAGATGCATAAAGACCTTGTTCAATTAACAGGAGATGGTGAGTGCTCTCCAAGGAGGGTGAGTATGTTAGATGCAGGTTTTGTTTTATGAAGTTAATGCAAGTTTGGGCTGGAGCTGAATTGCTGAGAACATGGAGAAGCCAAACCCTGGCAGAAACAACTGGTATCTTTGTTTTTCTTCTCTTCACATATAATCTATCACCATTCCTTATAATTTTACCTTTTAAATACTTCAGTGAATCTGTTCTTACTCGATCCCCGTTGCTACCACTCTAGTTCAAATTCTTTTTTTTTTTTTTTTTTTTTTTTTTTTGAGACAGAGTTTCACTCTTGTTACCCAGGCTGGAGTGCAATGGTGCGATCTCGGCTCACTGCAACCTCTGCCTCCTGGGTTCAGGCAATTCTCCTGCCTCAACCTCCTGAGTAGCTGGGATTACAGGCATGCGCCACCATGCCCAGCTAATGTTTTGTATTTTTAGTAGAGACGGGGTTTCACCATGTTGACCAGGATGGTCTCGATCTCTTGACCTTGTGATCCACCCGCCTCGGCCTCCCAAAGTGCTGGGATTATAGGCTTGAGCCACCGCACCCGGCTCAAATTCTTATCTAGTCTGACCTATACTATTGCAAAGATTTTCTAACCAGCCTTCCTTTCTCCTATCTCTTCTTCCAGTCTATTCTCTACACCATTGTCAGAGTGATCGTTTTTTAAATCTCAGATCTAATTATGTTAATCCCTTGGCTCAAAATCTTTGATCTTAAAAGATAAAGTCCATATCCCATAGCATACTATTCAGAGCTCTTTCTAGCTTCATCACCTACCTATGTCCCATTTCCCACCATTCCTTAAGTTCTTCAGGAGTACTCACTGTCAAAAACTCTCCCTTCTGCCAAAATACCTTTCCTTTACTTTTCTGCTTGGAAAACTCTTCTTTAGAAAAGTTGTTCTGCTCAGATGTACTTTATATAGTAGGGAAAAAAGATAGAATAGTTGTTCTCCTTATATTGCCAAATAAGCACATCTTCATGTGATGCTCCTGGGCTCAGTGAAGATTCTGCCCATGGGAATCATTATGCTGTCTGCCACATAGTTCCAGTTCTCTTCCTGAGCATATTATAGTATTGTACTTTCTTACCCCTTGAAAGTTGGGTGTGGATATGTGACTTGCTTTGGCCAGTGAAATGGGAAAAGTAGAAGTTTTAAGAGTCAATATATGACTCTCATACTTTCTTCCCCTCTGGCAGCTGCTGTCAGTCTTTATCCTTGAATAAAGATGACAAAAAGCAGAACACTCAGCCAATCCTTAATGGACATGTAATAATAATAAAAAATAAAACCTTGTTGTTTAAGCTACTGAGATTTGGGATTGCTTGTTCCTGAAGAACCCAGGCTATCTTAAAGAATATATTATCTCCACTTTGATATCTTCCATAGCTAGCCCAAACCACCATGTTTCTGCTTTACCTGAACTTGTATGACTCATTTCCTGTTGTGTTTTTTTTGTTGTTGTTGTTGTTTGGTTTGGTTTCTTGAGACAGAGTCTTACTCTTTCACCCAAGCTGGAATGCTGCCGTGGTGCCATCTCAGCTCCCTGCAACCTCTGCCTCCCAGGTTCAAGCAATTCTCATGCCTTAGCCACCCAAGTAGCTGGTGCACACCACCACGCCTGGCTAACTTTTGTATTTTTAGTAGAGACAGGATTTGCCATGTTGGTCAGGCTGGCCTCAAACTCCTGACCTCAAGTGATCTACCCACCTCAGCCTCCCAGAGTGCTGGGATTACAGGCAGGAGCCACCATGCCCAGCCAACTCATTTTCTTTATACCACTCATCTGATGCTGATGACATTTTGCCTCACATTGCTAATTATCAATTTGCTGTTATATCTTAGCTGCCTTCACAACTCTGTTGAGGCTTCCTGAGGTCAGGGCTGGTGCTTGTTTCTTGTTATTATCACACTAAGTATAGTTCATAGCTAAGGCAATATTTTGTAATGGGTGCAGGAAAGAGATTAGTTATGAATGAATCTCAGTTTCCTCACCTGTAAGATAGAGTAACAACATATATTCTCCAGGGTTTTCCAACATTTGTGGATAACAGGTGCAACCTGTGTAAAAATAATGGCATAATGAAATTATTGTTCTCATTATTTATTTTTATTATAACTATAGATGGTGTTCAGTAGATGGTTGTGAATAAATCAGTCCTTCATTGATGGAGGTGTGGTGGTACCTGCATTAGACATAGAGTAAGGGTGGCTTATGCCTGTACTCCCGGCACTTTGGGAGGTTGAGGCAGGAGGATCACTTGAGTTCAGGTGTTCCAGACCAGCCTGGGCTACATAGTGAGATCTTGTCTCTATGAAAGTAAAAAAAAAAAAAAAAATTAGCCAGGCATGGTGGCATGTGCCTGTGGTTCCAGCTACTTAGGAGGCTGAGGTGGGAGGATCACTTGAGCCTGGGGTTCGAGGCCGCAGGGAGCTGTGACCATGCCACTGCACTCCAGACTGAATGACAGAGCAAGACCCTGTCTCAAAACAAAACAAAACAAAACAAAAAAGCATGGCACAGTTGTGGGTGCCTGTAGTCCTAGCTATTTGGGAGGCTGAGGTAGAGGATCACTTGAGCCTAGGAGTCCAAGGCTGCAGTGAGCTATGATGATTGTGCCACTGTTCTCTAGACTGAGTGACAGAGTGAGACCCTATCTTTAAAAAAAAAAAGAAAAAGTCCTGGATTTAAGGCCTAGCTTTTGTCACCAGCTTTGTGAGCTTGCCCTTGGAAAAGTCACTGACCCTTTCTGCATATTTTGCATTCTCAACTATAAAATATAAATAATAATGACACCTACCTCACTGAAATCTCATCAAATTTAAATGAGATAATATGTGAGGAAATGTTTCATACCTGCTTAAGGATCACACATTCTAAAACTGTAATGATACAGAGAAGATGACTGGTCCCTCACATGATTATGTGGAAAATTTGGAAGCATCCCCGTGTGCTCCAATAACCCTTTGCTGTTGGTCTTGTCTTTGTTGCTTGTTTACGTATTTGTCTTTCCAACTAGGCTATGAGCTACTTGCGACTAAGAATTGTCTTAAAGTCATTTTTTGAAAAAATATTTATTTTTCCTTATTGTAAGAGTAATACATAGGCAAGAGACACTATACAAAAAAATAATAAGTAATACATTGTAAAGATAAGGAAAACACATAAAGAAGTCCAGGCACAGTGGTTCACACCTGTAATCCTAGCACTATGGGAGGACAAGGTGGTAGATTGTTTGAGCTCTGGAGTTTGAGACCAGCCTGGGCAACATGGAAAAACATTGTCTGTACTAAAAAATACAAAAAATAGCTGGGCATGGTGGTGTGCTACTCAGGAGGCCAACATAGGAGGATTGCTTGAGCCCAGGGGGTGGATGTTGCAGTGAGCCGAGATTGCTCCACTGCACTCCAGCCTAGGCAACAGAGTGAGACCCTGTCTCAAAAAAAAAAAAAAAAAAAAAAAAAAAATTACATGAAGAAAATTTAAATCTCAGTAGTTCTTTTATTCAGAAATAATTTCTGTTAACCTTTGATGTATTTCTTCCATTTTTTTCTGTGCACATATAGTTACAAAACTAATATATCACACATATAAGCATTGCCTCATGTCACTGAATATTCTTACATACATGAACTTACATAAAAATTCTTATATTTTAATCATTCTCCTATTGTTGAATATATAAGTTGATGATATGTTTTTACTGTCTAGGTAAAGTTGTAACAAATGTGTTTTTGTACATACATATTTGTCTGAATTTCTATTTTTATGGGGAACATTTTTCTAATTATGTAGGAGAAATTCCCAGAATAAATATTTCTGGGTTAAAGAGTATGAACATTTTTAATGCTCTTAAGACTTTCAAACTGATTCCCAGAAAGGCTGAACCAAGTTCCACTCCCACAAGCAAGGTGTAAAGTTGCATGTTTTACTGCATGCTTATCAATAATGGGAATTATTATTTTAAAAAGGGAGCTGGGAGCAATGGCACAAACCCTTAGTCCCAGCTACTTGGAGACTGAGGTGAGAAGATTGCTTGAACCCAGAAATTCAAAATTGCAGTGAGCTATGATGGTGCCACTGCACTCAGACTGGGCAACAGAGTAAGGCTCTGTCTTTAAAAAAAAACAACCAAACAAAAATAAGGTTAAAACTTTTTATGTAATAAGTGCCCACTCAACATTTCTTCTGTGACTTGTTCATGCCCCTTGTCTACTTTTCTATTAGGATTTTAATTATTCTTATTAATTTCTATGAGATTTTAAAAATCATTTCATTCTAGTCACAAAGCATAATACAAGACACATAATAGATGCTCCTTAAATATGCCTTGGGTTATTAGTTAATTGTTTTGGGGACTTTTTGGGAATCAAAGCAGACTTTCTAAGAGATTGCTTCTTTCCTTTTCCTGCCCAGGACACAGCTGGGCAGGAGCGGTACCGGACCATCACAACAGCCTATTACCGTGGAGCCATGGGCTTCATTCTGATGTATGACATCACCAATGAGGAGTCCTTCAATGCTGTCCAAGACTGGTATGAGACTCTCGTATTCATTCATTCATTCATTTAGCAAATTGTTCATTAAAACCTGACATGTGCTGTGAGGTCCTGGATTGTGTGCTAAGGAAGCCCAGATGAATCAGACATGGCTCCTGCCCTCAGGAGTTCACAGATGAGAGAAGACAGATCCGTAAGAAGGAATGAAAATATCATGTGATAGGCCAGGCATAGTGGCTCACGCCTGTAATCCCGGCACTTTGGGAGGCTGAGGTGGGCAGATCACCTGAGGTCAGGAGTTCGAGACCAGCCTGGCCAACGTGGCGAAACCCTGTCTCTACTAAAAATAAAAAAAATTAGCCAGGTGTGGAGACATGTGCCTGTAATCCCAGCTACTCAGGAGGCTGAGGCAGGAGAATCGCTTGAACCTGGGAGGCAGAGGTTGCAGTAAGCTGAGATCGCACCACTGCACTCCAGCCTGGGTAACAAAGTGAGACTCTATCTCAAAACAAAACAAAAAAAGGTAAAAGAAAATATCTTGTGCTGGCTGCAGTGAGGAAGAGAGGCATCAGGGCTGTGGAACCCAGCAGAGGGCTCTCTGACCCAGTTTAGGGAGTCAGGGAAGGTGCCCTGGAGTTGCTGACACATATGCTGCATTTTGTAAGATTAACAGGAGTTAGCCCGAGGGACAAATTAATAAGGATGTTCCAGAAAAAGAGTACAGATGTGCAAAGGCGAGAAAGTAGGCACAAGTGTTGAAGGGCACAGGTCATGAAGGATTTTGTGTGACACTATAAGGTGTTTCGATTCTGTCCCATAGGTGATGACATATGAATTGGAAACCAACAGGTTCAGACTTGTGTTTTAGGAATATTATTATAGCTCTAGTGGAGAGTGAATCCACATAGCACTTCTCTATAAAGTTTATCCCTGGGCTGAGCAGGGTGTCCAGGAGCACATATAGTCTAAGTCCATCAAGGCTCAATACGCAATGGAAATCAGTATAGCACCTCAGAGGTGCAACCTTTGAGCAACATACAGCTTTCCTCCTGGGGCACAATTCCCAGAGAGGGAGCCTGAGGGGAAGGACATGTGAGACGGAGGGCCAAAACCCAGTGTCCCTGCTCAGATGAGGATGGGGGAAGGTGGGACATCTGTGTGGTGGCTGTCCTTCAGAGTCAGAGGCTGAGCAGGCTAGGCACACAGCAGCAGTGCTGGCCAGTGCTGGGTTTGTCTCCTGCTCCTTTTGCCTAATAGTGACCATTCGAGGACTTCACTTTTCCCAAGGAGCAGTTGTAATTGTGTGAAGCTGCATTGGCTTCACATACACAGCTTGAGCTGAGAATGACCTTGTGGGCTGCCTACTGCACTCCCCTGTTCTGACCAGCAGTTCAGGGTGTCATCAGCATGTCTGTCATTCCTTGGGGGTCTGTGTTCTCCTTTTCTACCTCTTATCCTCTTCTTCCTCCTTTCTGCCCCTTCCTTTTTAACAACTCTTTCTTCCCTCTGCCTTGGATCTTTCTCCTCTCTTTCCTCTCTGTTCTCTTCCCCTTCCCTTTACTCTCTCCACTCATTATTTTCCTCCCTTCATTCCCTCTCCCTGCCTCTCCTCTTCTCTCTCACCATATCTCCCCTGAAGTGTCTCCACACTGCCCATTCCCTGTTGGCCTTGACCCCCTTCCCTTCCTCCCTCAGTCTCTATTCTTTCTGCCTCAGGAACACAATGACTTTAACACCTGGTGACGATTCCTCCAAGAATAACCTGAGTTTGTTGCTAATCTGGGATCTGAGAGGAAATGGGGTGGGAGGAGGGAGGACGATGAAAGAAAGAGTAGCATAGGAGACAAGGAGAGCTGGCCCCAGGTGCCTGCCTTAAGTCTGAAGACTGAGTATCTGTCTCTCCCAAGCCCCAGCCTTTGAGTTTTGTCTGTGGGCAACTTGGTCTCAGCCTCACCCCTACCTGCCATCTAAGCCCCAGTGACCAGAATGGGGCCTGGTTTCTTGTGGGCCCACAACAAATGGTGGCTGAGTGAATTACATCCTTTGAGGGAATGGCTTCTCACCATAAATGAGAAAGTTGGTGGTGAGATCAGCTTTAGGAGCAGGGTCAGTAATAGGTTCAGGTTGCAGTTAGGGTTGAGTTAGATTGTCAGTGTCAGGGTAGGGTCAGATTCAAGATCTGCTTCAGGACTAACCGTTCACTGGCTCATTCATTTATCAAACATTCACTGACACCTTCTCTGCTCTGTCATTCTGTGCTGGGTATTGGCATCCCAAAGATGAATAGGCCAGTTCTTGCCCTCAGGGAGAGATAGAAATTCAGCAAAGAGGAAGTAATCATTTCTACCTGATGGGGTCTTTGGGGAATGTTAGGCCCATGTCCACAAAAAGTTGTCTCCATAATGTAAGAGATTTCCTATTTTATTTCCTCTTAAAATTTTGTTTTTAATTATAGAATTAATACTTGTTCACTTTCAAAAATGTGAAAAGTATGGAAATTTGAAAAGCATTTTTAAAAAGTCTTATAATCATCTTACATGAAGGTAACCACTGCTGACATTTTGGTTTCTGCAAATAATCATAATCTAAGACTTCAGGGAAGGTTTATGAATCACAGAGGAGGAGGTGGAGGCTAAGTGGATCTAGGGGAGCTTGAAAAGGCTCTCCTCCAGTTGTTGTGGGAACAGCACTGGGCCCTGAAGGATGAGTTAGTTGTGGGGGAGGAATTCCCAGTGTAGACAAAGGCACAAGCCATGGAAGAGCTTTTGGGAAATGAGTAAAAAGGTTTGAGGGGTGGGAGAATGGGTAATGAGGCTGGAGAGAGAGAGCATGAATGGTCTTGAACTGAGGAATCTGGACTTGATCACATAGCTAGCTGGGGGCCAGAGAAGGCTTTTAACAAAGGATACATTGTGATCAAATACTTGTTTTAGAAAGAGCTCTCTGCCTAGTGAGGAGAGGGATGGCCAGACATGGTAGAGGTGGACTTCAGAGAGAGGGATGAGGTTTGCAGCCAGGGCTTAGGAGTCAGCATCTGCGACAGCCAGCAGGGGCAAGCACCTCTACGTCCTTAGTTGAATTAATTGGCAGTAACTTGGGTGTTGCTAGTCCTGTGGAAGAGAAACCATTGCTTCACACTTTGCAGTTTTCTTTTTGCCATAGGAGGGTGTGTGTCTTGGTCAGTTTGGGTTGCTATAACAAGAATACTATAGACTTGGTGGCTCAAATGACAGACATTTCTTTCTCACAGTTCTGGAGCTAGGAAGTCCAAGATCAAGGCATCAGCAGCTACAGTATCTGGAGACAGCTGGCTTCTTGTATCCTCCCATGGCCAAGAGAGAAAGAAGGCTCTACCCTCTTTCTCTTCTTAGATGGACACATTTATTAGAACTCTAGCCTCATTGACATAATGATGTCCCAAAGGCTCCACCTCCAGATACCATTACATTGGGGATTAGGCTTCAAGATGTAAATCTGGAGTGGGGAACCAGACATTCAGCCTATAGGAACATGATTAACGCATCTCTTTCCATGTCATTTTAGGGCTACTCAGATCAAGACCTACTCCTGGGACAATGCACAAGTTATTCTGGTGGGGAACAAGTGTGACATGGAGGAAGAGAGGGTTGTTCCCACTGAGAAGGGCCGGCTTCTCGCAGAGCAGCTTGGTATGTAGATGACACATGTGTGTGCACGTGTGCATGTGTACACATGCTCATGAGAGTGGGATAAACAGGGCATGAGTGTATTTGTATTTATGACATTAGGGTTGTAATTATGAATTATGTACCTATGTGATCTGTTTTTATATTTGTACAATGTACATATGGGCTTTATACTGTGAGTTTTAGATAATTCGTCATTTTTGATGTGTATGTATTTGTTATATTGAATATGTAAGTAAAAAAATTTTTTTTTTTTGAGACGGAGTTTCGCTCTTGTTACCCAGGCTGGAGTGCAATGGCACGATCTCGGCTCACCACAACCTCCGCCTCCTGGGTTCAGGCAATTCTCCTGTCTCAGCCTCCTGAGTAGCTGGGATTACAGGCACGAGCCACCATGCCCAGCTAATTTTTTGTATTTTTAATAGAGACAGGGTTTCACCTTGTTGACCAAGATGGTCTCGATCTCTTGACCTTGTGATCCACCCGCCTCGGCCTCCCAAAGTGCTGGGAGTGTCCTAGTGTAAAAACAAACCCATTATTCCAGAGAAGCACTGCTCTTCATTGTCAACTGTAGAGCAGACTGTATGCTGAACGTGACCACGTCCTGAATATCAAACATCCTTTTAGCACTAAGTATTTATATGCTGTTCTTACAGTTTATCTCAATGCAAATTCATGCTTCTCACCAAAATACAATTCACAACAAAAGTAATTGTATGAAGGAACAAAACTGTGTCGTTCGAGTATGTAGCTCATTGATGTCCTGACTTTTTCCAAGGTTAAAATATTCTGTGCTTGTTTGAGGCCCAGGTATGTCTCAGTAGCCCCAAAGCAGAACTCTACCTACCTTTGCTTAAAAGAAGAGCTTTTATTTTATGTATTGGGGTCCAGGTTAAGGTTGCCTTACAAAAAGAGTTCCATGCCTGTAGGTTTGAAAGTTTGAAATCTTCCTCTAGAATAGATGTACTGCTTAGCTTTTAGCCAGTCTAAGTATATCTCACATCCTAAGTGTTGTTAAGTATTGAGGAGTGGAGAGTTTAAGGTTACACTCTCTGACAGTTTCTGAAGTACAGATATTTGGGCTTGTAGGTGGGTAATCTGTATAATATATAAGTGTGAATTGTATATTGTATATATTTGTATTATGTGTATTATGAGTATATATGTGTGTGTTGTATACTTTTTTCTCCTCAAGGTGGCCTGTAAACTGTAGCAAACTATAACTGCTTAATAAACAGGGAGGTTGGGTCATCTTGGGCTTTGCTGTTTCTACACTATCACAGAGGTTCTCGGAGTCCAGAAAGTGCCTCCACATGGTCCATAGAACAATAAGCAAGTGATGAAGTCCACACCTGGAGAACTTCAGACTGTCCCTTTAGGCCAGGCATCCCCAAACTTTTTACACAGGGGACCAGTTCACTGTCCCTCAGACCATTGGAGGGCCGCCACATACTGTGCTCCTCTCACTGACCGCCAATGAAAGAGGTGCCCCTTCCTGAAGTGCGGCGGGGGGCGGATAAATGGCCTTAGGGGGCCACATGCGGCCCGAGGGCCCATAGTTTGGGGACGCCTGCTTTAGGCTTTCAACCTGCAGTCTCCCGGGAGGCTCCCAGCACTCTCCCTGGACTGACTATTTCATTTGCTTGGAATGCTCTCTTCTACACCCCATCTTCCACCCTCATCCAGCGGACGAGCCCCCATTCAGCTTTCAAAACAGCTCAAACTTCACATCTTCTATGAAACATTTCTTAGTTCCCTGCCAGAGTTCTTTACTTTGTTTTCTCACTTAAGGCACCCCATACATAGAAGTGTCACAGTACCCATCACACTTGGATGCACTCATTTACTTGTTTGTCTCCTGAAATTTCCTTGCAGACAGGAAATGAGTCTTGTTTGTCTTTGTGCCTACTGTGCCTAGCATACAGCTGGGCATGGAGGATGCAAAAATATATTTGATTAACTTTATGATGGTAAGTATTCGGATACTTCATTTTATTGTCCAATAAGACTTCCTGAGTACCTACTCTGTACTAGGCCCTGAGCTGTGAAATAGGATGCATTCCCTGACCTGAAGAAGCTCGATCTAGTGAGAGCCTACAGTGACAGTCATAGCCCAGGTGGTGAGGACTGTGATAGAGGGATGTTGGGACAGCATAGAGGAGGAACCTGATTCTGCTGAGGTCAGAGAACATGATGCGCAAGTGGAGTCTTGAAGATAAGTAGGTGAGTCAAGTGAGGAAGAGAGCTAAGGGCTCCCCAGTCGGGGCAAAGACAAGGAGCCCTTGGTCAGGGAACCATAAATCACTAGATGGTATGAGTCTGGAGTAATGTTGCCCAAGGTGGGGAGCTCATGCTACTGGAATTGTGCAGGATGATTTTCTGTATTTATTTTCTAATACATATTTGGGTATGTATTAGAAAAAAATATAACCAGCATGCCAAGCCCTTCTCACTAAGGTTTTTTTTTTTTTTTTTTTTTTGAGATGGAGTTTCACTCTTATCGCCCAGGCTGGAGTGCTGGGGTCCAGGGTAAGGTTGGGGCGATCTCGGCTTACTGCAACCTCCGCCTCCAGGGTTCAAGCAATTCTCCTGACAGCCTCCTGAGTAACTGGGGTTACAGGTACCCACCACCATGCCCAGCTAATTTTTTGTATTTTCAGTAGAGATGGGGTTTCATCATGTTGGCCAGGCTGGTCTCGAACTCCTGACCTCAGGTGATCCACTTGCCTTGGCCTTCCAAAGTGCTGGGATTATAGGCATGAGCCACCATGTATGACCATTCTGAGATTTTTAAAAGGTGAATTGGTTAAATATTTATTAGCTGCTTACGCTGTCAGGCACTATTTATTCTAAGTGTTTTAAAGTATTATACATCTAATTTAATCCCCCTAAAATCCTTCAAGATATATGCTTTCCTATCTCCACATTGTGTGTGTGTGTGTGTGTGTGTGTGTGTGTGTGTTTAACAGATGAAAAAAGTGAGGCACGGAGAAGTCGAGTAACTTGCCAAAGTCACACAGCTTGTGAGAGGGTAGAACCAGGATTTCAACCCAGGCAGTAGTCTGGCTCCCAGAGCCTGTGTTCTTAACCACTTAACTTTACTAAACAGCAAATGTGGTAATCATAGTTGATATATATTGAAGAAGGCACTACGTAAAATATTTAGTATTAGTTATCTCACTTAAGTCTCTTTATAAACCTTAAGGTAGATATTATAGAGCATGTCCAATATTCTCAAAAATGAAGTTCAGAGAGATTAAATAACTTGCTCAAGTTTATACTATTAGCAAGTGGTGAAATCAGTATAAATCTTGGTGAGGAACACAGATAGAACACATGAGATTAAATCTTAGTGCACTGTTTTTAGGAAGGCACTTGAAGAAGACTTAATGAATTGCTTAGATTTTGGCAGGTCAAGGTAACCCATCTCTGCCCAACTCAACTCCCTGAGCTTTCTGCTACTGATCACCAGAACTTGCCTATTTACATGTTTATCTCTTCTCCTAGGCTTTGAGAGCATGAATTGTGTCTGATTTGTTTCATGATCCTAAGGACCCAGCACAGGGTAGATATTCATTAATACATTTTACTTATTCAGTGAAAAACATTTATTGAGCACACTAAGCCAAGTTCTGCTCTGGCACTTAGGATATAATGAATGACGAACAAACAGCTGCAATCCTTACCATCATGGGACTAACGGGGAAAGAGACATTAAACAAATACTTACACAAATATTAATTAAAAAGTGTGTAAAGGAACTGTATGGTATGTGAATTATATCTCAATAAAGCTGTTAAAATTGTGATGTTTTACTTGAGTTAGGACTTCTGTTATGGCAAGTGATAAAATCACAAATCAAACTAGCTTTAATAAATAGAATTGGTTGGGCACAATGGCTCATGCTTGTAATCCCAGCACTTTGGAAGGCTGAGGTGGGTGGATACTTGAGGTAAGCCTGGTTTGATATCAGCCTGGTCAACATGGTGAAACCCCATCTCTACTAAAAACACAAAAATTAGCCAGTTGTGGTGGTTGGCACCTGTAGTCCCAGCTACTCGGGAGGCTGAAGCAGGAGAATTGCTTGAACTCAGAAGGTGGACGTTGCAGTGAGCCAAGATAGCCCCCCACTGCTCTCCAGCCTGGGTGACAGACCAATACTCCATCTCAACAAAAGGAGGAGGAAGAGATAATGTATTAGCTCCTGTAACTGGGAAGTCCACTAGACCCAGGACTCAATTGCACTCTCCACTTCTCAGCTTTACTTATCCCCTTGGCCTCCTTCTATAACCAGACTCTCTGCCTGGGGAATTAGAGAGATGATGGCAGATTTGTAGCTTCCCAATTCCTGCAAAAAGAGACCTCCTTTCTCTTCCAACCACTATGTATCAATCCCAAGGGAATACTATGATTAGTCACCTGTGAGTCATGTGCCCATCCCAGTGGCAAATATGGCAACATATTCCCAATAAAACTGTTTAAAATGGTGGCTTCCTAAATGAGGGAATGAAGGGGGCAGATAAAAGTTAAGATAAGTCCACCACAAGTGCTATGAAGAAAGTGTAAGAGAGAAACCTAATTTTAGGCTGGAGAGTTAGGGTTTTCTGAGAAAGTAATGCTTAAGGTGAGAACAAAAGGATGAGAAAAAGCTAGCCAGGCAAAGAGTAGAGTGTGGGGAGGGGCATGTTCCACATCAAGAATAGTTCCAATGTAGGTTAAACCCTGAAATATTCAAGAAATTGAAAGAAGGCCATGTCACAGGGACTAAATCATCAAGGAGAGTAGCATTAAGATGAGGATGGACAGATGGGCAGAGATCAGATGGTACCGGATCATGTTAAGAATTTTGCAAGGGTATGATCAGATCTGGCAACAGTGAGTGGGGGATGCTCAGCCTTCCTCACCCTCACCCAGTGCCTATTCCTCTGCTGTCTTAGGTATTAAGTCAGTTTCAGTGGTTTCTTTGCCAGTGCAGTAATGCCATTCTCTGCTTTATGGGATCC